TAATGCCAAGTTGTATCTGGGCTGAGTAATGGTGGGACAGCGTATAGGCATCCCGTGGCAATGCTTTGAGAAAGTTACATCACGAATTTTCCAAAACATGGGCTAGGTTGTCTAGCAGAGCTGGAGACATACCCGGCCAAAAGTGAAGGGAGTGCAACCGTGGAAGTGTACTGGATTCATGTTCAAGGGATGACACTGTGAGGTTAACAAATTAAGCAAATTTACCTGTCTAAAATCATGTTACATTATTAAAATGGTTCTAAAAGCTTTGTGTTTTGTTGTTTGTTTTACTTTATGTATTTATTTAATTTTTTTTCTGCAAGTTTGGACGGTGACAGTGGATAAGCAGGTTTTGTGCAGTCTGTGGTTTACTGCCTCACAGGGTAGCCAGGTGCTGTCATTTTTGTACTGTAGTTCATCTAATGAAATATTTGGGTTTAGGTTAAGGTTGATTTAAAAAAAAAATGGAGTTATCTCTATTGTTCTTAAGTTATTTCTTCACACAACTGAAATATGGGCTCACATTTGACCTCTGAGTATGTATTTGAACAGCTACCAAAATGGAAGTCCAGCATTTTTGTTATATTGTGTTCCAGGTGTTGTTAAATGTATGCAATTTTGTTCTACAAAAAGAATTTTTATTATCCTATCATTTTCCCCTTTATAATTTAATAAAAGAAGACACTATAATTTAATAAACTAAGACAAACCTGCCTTACGTTTTGGATTGCTTTTGGTTGCTCTAGTCTTGAGTTCAGTTGTCTGTTGATGACCAGGAGTCACAGCTACCCCTACCCAAGTTTTGCACAGGGAATAAACTGAAGCTTATGACTCCCAAAGCTTGCTTGCTTTTATTTTTTAATTCTCGTTCGTCTTGTCCTTTAGATTAGTGTTTATTTTTTAATATGGTGGAAGGCTGTATTGCCATAACAAAGTAATTTAATATGTAAATGGAGGCTCTTGTAAAACATAATTTCTTGGGTCTTCCAACCTGCACTTAGGTGTTTGTCTTCTTGCCCCCTCCCTACATCAGCTTATCAAACTGGACATAGAAGGGGAATATTTTTGGGTTAAAGGCAAGCTGTTAAAGTTATGCCTTCTCTTGCAGACAGGTGATTTTAATTAGATGTGGTTGTAAAAGGTAAATATTAATGTTATGTGCCCATTGAGCTCAAGTTCATAGGCTAATTTGTCTTGCCATTGATGAATTTGAATCCTCTGCAGCTTGCGTGGTGTACATCTCTGTGTGTGGCTTTAGGGCTTGTCGTGGTTTGGAAGGGAAGAGAAAAGGCCTAGCTAAAAAGTAAAGTTACTGAACAAAATCGGTCCTGTTTTACCTCAAACGCGGACATGGCTGTCCCGCAGGTGGGGAAGAGCACTTGCAGTGCTCTGCTGGCTTTTGTCACCGGTGTTCTTCACGTGGCAGGAGTTCCCCATCTTGTTCCTTGCCGCTTGTGGTTGCCCCTAAGCGGCTTCCCCGGTGGGAAGCCTGGAGCGTGACAGCCGCCGGTGCAGATTCTCCGCTTCACGCTCGGTGGGGGCCCTGGCAAGCTGACGGCTACAGCTGGCACTTGCCTTTCTCTTGGCTTTCCTTGATGGTGATCAAACTGTCATGCTTTAGTATCGTGTGCTTGGACCGCTAACAAGCAAGAGCTGCAGTCAGCCTGAGCTTGTCCTCTTACCTGCAGCTGATATCCAGAGATAGTTGTTTGGGGTTTTTTTTAACTATTTTTGAAGGACAGTTGCTGATTGTAGCTGGTGATGTCACGTGTAGCACGTGCCGTTATACAGCACATAGTGCAAACTTTATCTTCCAACCAAAACCCACCACACGTGGCTGCTTCCCGTGTTATTGGGTGTTGCAGGTGTAAAGTGCTGTCCCATTTTCCTAGGTCTGCGTACAATCTGTCAAAATAATTCCTGAAGTCCAGCCTCAGTTCATGGTCCCATTATGTTTCATAGATATCTGTGTAAGGAATTGGATCTGTGTGATATGAAATATTAACCTGGTAGGGTTGAATGCCAGATGTGACATCTTGCACTGTCTGAGATTATAATCTGACCCTGTGTGCATAAGAAATATATATGTGGTGTTTTATGTAGGTTTGGAAATGGAATAACTGAACAAGTGGATTTATATGGATAGAGCTGGGTTTCTAATTTTTGAAGCTACATTGCTTGCATTGTTGTCTGTTGGAAAAAAAAAAAAAAGGGATAATTACTAGAGCTTTGCATTGTCATAGCCGTTATAAATGCTTTACATGACTTCTAATAAAGTGTGTTTGCCCACCAGCTATCTCGTGCTCTGAGGCATTCTGACCTTGCCAAAGAAGATGATGTGAGGTCTTCTCAGGGCAGCGGCTGGGTAAACATGCAGTTAAAACTTCATTTGGCTGAAGGTGCAGAGTTTGCAGTGGGGTTGCTCTTATTTGTATGCTGTCTGTATAGGGGAATCGGCACGCAGTACCCCGCTCGCACACCTTTGTTTGGAGCATTGCTCCCTCTGCTACGTGGGAGAGTGAGGAGGGAGGCTGCTTTTAGGATGGGGAGCCTGATCCTGTCGTTAGACGTGGACCACCTGCAGAAGTTCTTAGTGTAAAGAGGCACTAGATGTTGGCTGTTACTTCCTTCTGCTGATGTCCCACAGTACCTGCGTGACACAGACCTGCCGGGGTCTGGAGTGGTGCTGCCGTGTCTGCGTGGTGACGTGCCTGACTCCTGCCGCGATGGCTGGTTTACCTTTGCCGTGTGGACTCAGTGGCTCGGAGACCTCTGCACCGCTGTGCGTGGTGTGGGCCACCCTGAAAATTCATGAGGATCATGGCTGATGCCCTCGTTTTACCTGTTAAGATACATTAGAGAATTACTGATATTGCCGCGTGTGGGTGGATAATGTATGTTTTGTTGCCTGTGTTTGATTATAGGGGTTGGAGCCTGCGTGCCTCCCCCACTCCAAGTGTGTACTTTACTCTATACAGTAGGCTAAAGACCAGGTTTTACCGCAACTAACTTATAAGCTGCTTTATTCTGAGATACTATATTTGCTGTGATGGGCATTTAGATTCAGAGCTGGTAGCTTGAAGATTTAAAGCACATATACCTTAAATACATCTTATCTGGGGAAAGTTAGAAGTGAATATAACTAACTTCTATTTGGCTGTAATGCTTTTATTAATGGCAGTAAAAGCTGTCAATGGAAAAGCAATAGGTAGAACTGAGCCCCTTTAGGATAAATGCAATGCTGGGCTCTTCGTTATGGTTTTGTAACTTGAGTTTTCGGTTCACTGGGTACCTGCTGCCTGGCACACTGCTTTAATAAAGGATGCAGCCCCCCAGAATGTGAAAGCCACAAGGTGGGGATGCATTTATGCCATGGAATTGGCAGCGTGGGCGCTGGCTCTGTCTTAACATCTCTGTTCCTTTGATTTTTGCCTTTCACTCAAAACCTTGGAAAGGGAAGGTTACCAAATGCATGTTTACTCGAAGCACACAACCTGCTCAACCGCAATTATCTCCTAATCTGGTCCTTCCGAGTTTCTCTGGTCTCGCAGGTAAATACAGATTTAACCGTTATTCAAGGCATATTATTTACCTCATTAAGTGTGTGTTTTGGCACGTGCATTATTTACCTGACGGACTAACGGATGGGAGAGAGCAAACGCTGTCTTTTGTGCAAACAGCGACTTTGTTCGCAGGCGGCGAGTCCTCCACGTCGCCTTGCCTGTTTCGTCTCCGTGTCTCATGGCGAGTGCTCCCTGCCCTTCACGGCGGAGCGAAAAGCAAGCGCAGGTGTGGGGAGGCCAAGCTCAGAAACCAGGCGGGTGGATAGCACGTGGTGCAATGGAGATCTTGCCCGGAGCCACAAGCAGTGGGACCAGCCACGGGGATGGATTTAAATCTCCATATCTATGTAGTGAGGTGTGTGTGTATAGTTATATATATATAGTTAGAGGGGGTACTCATATCCTTGTTCGAGAGGACTATGTTGTTGCAATTTGCCAGTTTTTTGCCATTGGTCCCTGTATCTATGTAACACCTCCATGAGTTTGGCTTGAAGTCTCAAACCAATAGATGTGTAGCTGTGAACAGCCCTGAGGCTGGTCCACCTTGGGCACTGACAGTCCTGTCAAGTTTTTCCTGCAGCGTTTTAAAAGGAAAAGGTCAGGGAGGGAAATCCAGGCAGTCTCACATGGATAATGTAATTTATTATATATTGTTTGTTAAACAGAAGCGTCAGAAGGTGACTGCTAGGTGAGATATTTCTTTGGGGGGGGGGAAGTCTGTAACCTATACAGTCCTGCTGCTTGCATTTTGCAGTTCTTGCAGTCCCTGCAGTTCACGTATGGCTTTGTTGAACCAATATCCTCTGAGAGATACCTGAAGTAAGAAGTGGAATATAGCACTGGAATCACATCTCTGGGAAACCTTGTCCACAGGGCAAATGAGAACTTCCCTGGGGAGGAGCCTTCCAGACACCTGGATTTGTAATGAAGTGGGAGGTCTTGGTGCAATTAACAGGCATTTCGAGGCCAAGCAGTTTGGATGGGTTGTAGTGTTAGATGTGTGTATTTAATTCCTGCCATGTATGAGAAGTTGCATTGTATATGAAAAGATGAAAGCCCTCCTCAGAAATTTCAATGGGCTTTAGATAGATTTTTCTATGTTTAAGTGGTTTGTATTGTGTTCTGCTATGATAAGGTTCAGCAGGTGGGTGCGATCTGGTGCCCAAAGCCATGACTCTTGTGTGTCTCATAGTTCTTAATTTAGAGCTGTTTGCAGAGGTTAATCTCCAGTTGCCTGTGATTCTGGACATCTTGAGCTCAGTCCAAATGTCATCTGTCGTGCTTAGAGCAGGTTACTGTGTTATTTCAGGTTTGCGATGCTGGAACCTCCACCAGGAAGCACAGAGAAAATCCCTGACGGAGGAGGCCAGGGAAGAGATAGTAGCAGAGATGAGATGTATTTGTGCTTGAGTAACGTGAGTCTGTCTTCAGTTTCAGATGCCTCTGGATGTTCAATGATAGTACTCCTCCATACTGGAGCAGCAAAGATTCCCCAAAACTTACTTCCAAGGGCAAGACAAGCTGTGTGCTCCCTCCTCCCGGCTGGTGTTCTCAAAGGGTACCGCTCCATCGTAAGCAGGAAACTGGCGTCCCACGGCTTTGGAGCTTCCATGGCAGCAATGTCATCCTTCCCTCCACAGAGATATCACTACTTCTTAGTGCTGGATTTTGAGGCTACGTGTGATAAACCACAGATTCATCCTCAGGTAAATAATCAGTCCTGTTAATTATCCCTTTGCAAGTTGCTGCTGCTGTTCTGAGAGGTGGAAAAAAAAGCACAGTGCTGACTCACTTGTTTTCACTGGTTTGTCCCACCTCCTTTCTGTTGCGGGTCCTCCAGGGCTCTTGCCAGTCACCTGCGCTCTCAGGACCAATGCCAGGACTGTTCGGTGGGAATGAAATGAAGGAGCCTAATTTCCATCAAGGAAGTGACAATTGATGTGTTAATGAAAACATCTTTAAGTCTTGTATGCTTGTCATCTGCCTGAACTGGGGAGGGTCTAAAAATTTTTGGCTGGGAACCTGCATTAGTGGAGTACTCATAGTAGCCCTGTTTGATTCTGCAAAGACAAAGGCTGTTGGTAGCCAACAGCTTTAGGAAAAGAATAATTTGAATGATATGAATGTGTGCAACATAACGGTGTTTCCGAGTAAAGAAGAATAACAGTTTGAAGCGCTCTGATCTTGCTGAAGTTATCTTGCCTGGGTGTTAACTCTGGAGTGTAATGAGACAGGAAGAGTTCAGCCTCCAAGGATTTTTCAGTGCTCTACCACTTGAGACGTACGGAGGCTTTTCTGCAGACAGTTCGTCCACATAGTAGTGTAGAGCATATTAGTAAACATAATTTCAGTTGTCAGCAGGATGGACCTAGGGTTTCCATTAAAATTAGAAAAATATGCTAATAAGAAAGAGACTAATATTGGGCTGGTGTTGTGGGCAACTAAGCACCACGCAGCTGCTCGGTTGTCTTCCCCTGGTGGGGTGGGGAAGAGAATTGAAAGAGTAAAAGTGAGAAAACTCATGGCATGAGATAAAGAGCTTAATGGGTAAAGCAAAAGCTGTACCTGCAGGCAAAGCAAAACAAGGCATTCATTCACTGCTTCCCACTGGCAGGCAGGTGTTTGGGCATCTCCAGGAAAGCTGGGCTCCGTCATGCATAATGGTTACTTGGGAGGACAAATGCCATAGCTCCGAACGTACCCCCTATCCTCCTCCTTCCCTCGGCTTTATATTCTGAGCATGATGTCATATGGTATGGAATATCCCTGTGGTCAGTTGGGGTCAGCTGTCCTGGCTGTGTCTCCTCCCAACTTTTTGTTTGCCCCCAGCCTGCTCACTGGTGGGGTGGTGTGAGGAGCAGAAAAGGCCTTGACTCTGTGTAAGCACTGCTCAGCAAGGACTAGAACATCCCTGTATTATCAATACTGTTTCCAGCACAAATCCAAAACATAGCCCCACGCTAGCTAGAATGGAGAAAATTAACTCTACCCCAGCCTAAACCAACACAGAATTTCTGAGTCTCTGTGTTGAACTCAGACTTCTCACCCTCCTCTACCAAGCAGTTGGCCACTTATGGTTATTACCGGTGATCTACACGTTGCATCACAATAACTTCAATTTGCTTTGTTTGGAATATACTAAAGGCTAAGCGGTTTTCAGTGTGTTATCTCATTACTGAAGTGACTTGATAGAGTGTGTTCATCTCCCAGCGTAGCTGTGATCTACCTTGGGCTTGTCCTGTCCAAGGGATGCTGCAAGCTGGGATCAAATTTGACTCCTCTCTTCCCCAGCAATGCCTTGTTGAGTGCCACCTGCCCCTCGAGTTTCCTGAAAAACGGACAGCAAATTCCCTGCTCTTTTGCTGGGTCTTTGTGGGAGGCTGTTGTGGCTCTGCATCCCGTTCTGCTAGCAGGGTCTTAACCACTCTCCAAGTGAGATGTCGGGCTATTTCCTACACGCTCCGCCTCGGGTGCACAGACCTGTCAAAGCTGTAAATTGGATCTACCTTGTCCCTTTGGATATGGGTTTGGTCTGTGCGCATTTTGATGCAAAACCATGATGCATGTGGAGCTGGTTTACAGCTGGCAGTAAAAAGGAGCATGAGTGGAATATGATTACTACTGTTTTAAGGAGCTTTGTCCCCAAGTCCTTGCCAGGGAAAGTAATGGTCTGGGCCAATGCAGATCTGCTATATATTTTGTTGGTGAGATAGCACCTTTAAGGTGGAGATGTTCTTCAGTGTTGTTTTTCCAGTCTGCTGCGTTCAGTGCCTGTCTGCATCATATCGTGTATGGAAGGGGCTGTCGGTCCCTCACATCCCCACAAACAAATTAGTTTGACAAATAAAAAAATGCCTCTTGCTGCATGGGAATTGGTGTAGCTGGAAAGGCTGAAGGTACCTGCTGGAATTGGGCAACTTTATAAAATGAGGCTTTAGTTGATGCCCCTACCAGCGTCTTACCTTTTTGCTGACCAGCATGGCTTTCGTCCTCTTCACTGCTGGGCCATATGTCATGGTGAGCAAACTGTGCTGTGTGTTTCAGCGATGTTTTGTGCTGAATTTTTACTGGTAGGATCTTTCACTGGAGCTGTGGCAGACAGGTTTTGGAGATGTGGTCTGAGGACAGATGTGGGAGCTAGGAATGGTCGGGTGCTGATCTTCCCTGATTCTTTTCCTGCTTTTGTTTTATTGCCTGCAAAATAGAAGTCTAGATACAATGAAATTCAAATGCATTGGGATTTAATGAGGAGGCTACATACAGAGCTACGCTGTGATCCAGGTTACTTTAAGTGGGTGGGCACAGCTGTAAATTTAGCCAGCTCAGCCTAAAAGTCTTGCAGAGTGCACTTGCCAGTGTGCAGCACACTTGAAATTTCCCACTAACTGCTCTTCAAAATATCCCAGCTTCTTACCAGAAACTACTGAAAGAGCTGTCTTTTTATCTACACTAAGGTGTGTGATTGCCACATCTGCTCCCCCTCCCACTGTATTTACTCGTGCTCTCCTGCAACCGGCAGCCTCGCTGGCTTTATCCCTGGGGAAGTCCTTCATGCTCGTTCGGGAGCCCTGAAGACTCCTTCATTTTCATTCCTTTTCACGCTGCCCCATCTCCCTCCGAGGTCTCGTGGTATGGCCTCCGTAATGGGGATCAAGGAGGGTCAAGGACAGTGGTATTCCACTGGGAAGCTGTCTACATCACGACTCCAGTGGCTGGGACCGCTGACTGAGTGCCTCATCGCTGCTGCCCTTTGCTTTGCTACTTCTGGGTCAAGCACAGAGCCTTTTTGGTGTTCCCTGTCCTACACCCACAGAGGAACAGTAGCATCCTTGCACTCTTGACTTCTGATGGCTTTCAACAGATATGCCCCTAAATCACAGCTTTTGGGCTTTTTTTTGGATATGAGTAATGAGACCGTCCCAGAGAGAAAAGAAGGTGTGGTTTTAACTGCATTGTTCCAGATGGATAGATCGGAAAGCCTGAAAGAACAGAGGCGCAGTTTGTGTCGTGTAGTGTTTTAGCCAGCCAAAGGTCAGTAGGGGTTGGCAATAAGGAATGTTTATGGCTGGCCCCTCGCATCTCTTTAAACCTCACCTCATGCATTTGGGATTTGATCCAAAGTCCAGTGGGGTCAGGTGGGAGCTGTCGTTCTGCAGAGGTCAGTGGACCTCAGACCACGATGGTGGTAGTGTGCTTCATTTTTCAGCTCTAACTCTAACTTTTTTTTCCTTTACTGTCTGCTAAGAGTTTATAAGTACCTGCTGCTTTTATATGCTGTCAGCCTGTAGAGCCGGGTACATATGGTGCTTTAGCTACACAAGAGAAGATGCATTAATAAGTGAGAGTCTCGGTCTTTTGTCCCTTTGTCCTTGTATACACCAGCGTTTATGGTGGTCAGTGCTTTCAGTGACTGTGTTAAGGAGCTCCCCACGCTCAGCTCCGCGGCTGCCTGTAACCTTATTTTATTAATGCAGTGAGTGGGTGTGCCTCTTTCGGTCAGCAAGCCAAGTATCTTGCCTTCAACTTCAGCAGAGTGGATGAAAAGCAATGATTTCTTTAAATGTAAAAAGCGTGAAGGTAGAAGTCAGATCTGTTCAAAGCTGAATTTGAAATTAGGCTTCTACATAGGATGTTAATCTCTACTGTAATCTATTAAAGCCACTTTAAATGAAAACCAAATAAAATTCAAGCTTTGTATGTCTGCTTCCTGGAGGTGTAAAAGATTATCAGACCCCTGACCTGGCAGAAAGAGCTGGACCTAGGAGGTCCTGAGTTGCTAAATGAGCTTTTGGTAATGACGAAGTTGCTTTTTTTTCATGTCAGTTTTTTCAGGTACTTGACTTCAGTGTCTCAGATTCGCTCAAGTTTGATAATCGCTTGGGAATTAGAAATTTGCCTCTTCCAAGCTCTCTGTAAGAGGAAGGTATGAAACGGTCAGATCTTCTAATTGCTGAAGGAGGTTGTGACCAGAGGCAGAATAGATTGTTTACAGACAGTACTTTCCTTGTTCTCTTAAACAGCACATTTTAAATAAAAAAAAATCTTGATATTTTTCTTTAGTGTATCTTACATATTTCAAGTTTGTTTAGCATGCATTTTTATTGTTATTTGGGGGGAATTTTTAATTATAATTGCTGTCAAATTAAACTGGACATACTGATACATACAGAATATCACTCACCATTTCAACACAAAACCGTAAACAGTGATACTATGAATAAGCATATGTTCGGTTACTAATTTATTTTTAAGTGTACAAACAAATCTGGATGATCGTAATACATTTCCCGATTGGCAAAAGCATATTAACAAGCGGGAGCCAGTCTGTCCGTAAGATAATATTAAGTACAAATGCACGACAAGGTTAAATTGGGTTCAGGCTGTGTTTCCTTGAGTGCTGGTGTAAAAGAGCATTAAAGGTGTTTTTCCCTGAACATCCGTCTTACGGTTCTGGCTGGCAGTGGTGGGCAGGTGCAGCTGGAGTGGCTGCAATGATCGCTGCCTCTCCGCCGCCCGTACTGCTCTACCCGTGGTTTCGTTCCCATGGCAGGGACAACTGAATGATGTCTCTCTGCTCCTGAGCCGCTGTGATTTATAGACTGACCCTGTAATGGGAATGGATGTTGATTTCCACCAAATTTAGGCCGTAGCAACAGATGTGCGGTTCTTGCTGAGCTCCCTGCTCAGGGTGAGCAGATAGGGGTTA